GGGGGACAGAACCTCCAGGCAGACATGGAGCTGAAGACTTCATTCTGGTCCGTCCCCCATTACTTATTGGAACTGCCACCTGGGTTTCTTGTCAGCTGGGCCCATTTCTCTCAAGGGAAAATTGTGGCAGGGAAGAGGACCAGCACAAGGAGAAGAATGCAAGAAAAAAGAGGGTCTGATGACAATATTCTGCAGGGGCCCAATTTCAGCAAGCAGCCTTATTGGTGATGCAGATGATCTCCAGCATGGGATTCTACTCCTTCTTAGCACCTTTGGTGGCAAAGTTTACTCCTGGCAATGTGGGCAGCAGGCAGCAATCCCAGGGGCAGGAACAGGTAGGGTGGCTGCAGCAAGAGGACTGCAGTGAGGGAGTGGGTGTGGCAGCCTGAGGCCTGGCAGTTCAGCAATGGCTGCATGAGGAACAAGTGCACCAGCATGGGCGCTGTGCTCATAGACATGGTCGAATTTTCCTGGGCTTTTGGTCACCCCCCAACTCAGTAGGGCCCATTGCTGTGCTCTATTCCTTTGTGCCTCTGGCTTGGATGCCTCGTCCCTTCCTTTCCAGCTTTCCCAATCAGGGGTCCAGTGGGGCTGCCCAAAGCCCTTCCATTTCTGGCCTCCATTCTTTTGGGCTAGGTTCCACTCCCCCTTCTCCTTCTACCTTCAGTCAAATCTGCTGAGGTCCCTTTCTGGCTTGAACCATTTAGAGAATTAAAAATTTAAAGGGCTTAAATATAAAAATAAATGAAGGGGGAAAGGGAGAGGGTGGTTTTCGTTTAGCTTGTCAATTAGGGGTTCATTAATGATCCATTAGCCATGCCAACCAAGATGGCCTTCTCCTTGGCCAAGCAGCCAGCAACCCTTTCAGTTTGGCCAAGTGCCTTTCTGTTCCCCTACCTCGGCCAAACAGCCCGCCCGGTGAAAGCAGCCTGAACTCTTTTGTGTCTCAGCCTTAGCAAAACACCCAGTGGCCTTACATGTGTCCACCACGAAACATTCAGTGGCCTCATACTCACCTGTGCAGGGTCATTGTAGAGGTGTGCACACAAAAAAAATCAGATTTTTTTGGGTTTGGATCTACAGAGCTCAAATTTTTTTGATATTTGCCAATATTCCTGAATCCCAGTATCGGTATGATACTGGGGTTCAGGAATTATTGGACTAGCCAAATTTATTTGGCTCAATTATACTCTATGAGGACTGTCCCCATAGGGTATAATAATGCCCCCCTTGAAGGGGGGGGTTTCCTATCACAAGGGAAGGCAAATTGCCTTCCTTTCAATGAAAGGAGTGTGCCGCCTATGTGGCGCAACTCCAGAGAGGTTTAAAGTTTGAATCCCCCCTGGGGCTGCTCCGCAGTGGTGGCATGCTCTCTTCATTGAAGGGAAGGCAATTTGCCTTCACTTCAGTAATGGGAGCCTGCTATCCCAAGCTAGACCCCCCTGCCTCCCATGGCCTGCCTGCCAAAGCGGGTGAGCCAGGGAAGGCCTGGAGTCAGCCCCCCACCTTCCCTGGCCTGCCCACTGAGGTGGGCGACCTGGGGAAAACCCTGGAAGGAGTGGGGAGGCATTTAAATGCCTCCTTGTGCCTTCCCCAGCCCACCAACCTTCCCTGGCCTGCCCGCCAAGGCGAGTGAACTGGGAAAGGCCTG